AGATGTATTGATGCACTGAAGTGCTGCAAGTCAAATTACATTCTGTTGAGAGTAATGCAAGAGTAAAAAATACCTAATAAATAACAAAACATAGATAATATTAATCTTTAAAAAATATGTAAACAAGATCCTCAAGAGCTAAAGCACTACTATAAGAGCATTTGTTAATCTGTCCACAAGAAACAAGGGAAAAAGATGAGGGGTTTCCTTAGCTAAGTTTTTAAACTAAAACATACACAATTGCAACATATATTTCTATACCGCCATAAAAGACTTCAGCACCTCTTACACAGGTAATGGCATCATCCTTCTGAAAGCAAACAGGCTCGGAAGAGAGACTCCTCTCAGGTAACTGAAGTACCTGGAGTACCTGCCAGACTTGGCACTAATAATGCAGCCAGCAGCAAAGAACACTCCTTACATTAGACACATACAAGGCTAAGGCTACAGCACTTGGCACTTACTTGGGTTGTGGTGGTTGTCTGGATCTTTCTTATCTCCTTTCCCGCTTCCTTACCATCATCAGATCTCTCTGTGTCTGATATTATACTTCCAGCATCAACACTAGGTACCGTTTTGCTACCAGAAGACTCTGTCTCAAGAGTTGTGGCCGTCATTTCAGCATATTCTAATCCTTTAGATGACGAAGCCAGTTCCCTCTCAGAAATGCTATTCATTCCGTCCGAGGTTGTATGAATCTTGAACTCCTTTTCCTCTATTATACTTGCAGGACACGTTCTCTCTACGTTACCTGTCATGTGCGCAAGCAATTCCAAATCATCATTTACACCAAGATGTATTTGTGTCTCTTGCACATTTGGAATAGAAATGTGATTACTTGAAAGTTCAGGTAAAAGCTTCTCCTCTTGACTGGGTATTTTATCAAAGAGAAATGAGGTACTGTTAGTAGAAGGTTCATCTTTCTCATCAGCTAGAGTTATTAATGGACCATTATCTTTTTCCTCATTCTTCTTAATAATACCAACACTTCCATGAACATTATTTTGGAGTTTCTCAACAGCAGCACTATATACATTATCTAAAAGAGATTCAACTTCCACAAGTGCACCGTTTTCTCCCGTTACCAGTGTCTCTGGTGATAAATCCATATCATCAAGTTTTACTTCAGTAGCTTCTACCTTTTCAGCTTTTATATCAACTAAAAGGTCATGAACTTCCACATGTACTCCTCCTCCTGGTCTCTCAGCACTTCCAAGCACATCATCTGACACCTTTGTAGCCATGAGCAAGTCCCTGGTGTCCGTACTGACAGGGTAATCTGTTTCACTTTCGGGACTTTGGCTTTGTGAAAGGTCTTCTATCTCTCGAATTTCCATTCCACCTTTTGCACCTGTTGTCTGAGATGAAAGGCCTGAGATAGTGCTAACATTCCCCTTTTTTCCTTTTTTTATATTCTCTTCCTCTTGCCTTTGATACTCTTCATACATTTTTGCTAGGTACTCCTTGTGAGCCTCATATGTCACCTTAAAAAGAAAAGAACAGATTATGTGGGCAACTATCTACATTAAGCCTGAGCAAAAAAAAAAAAAAAAA